CGGCCGGCCCCCCCCCGCGCCCCAGCCCCAGCCCCAGCCCCAGCCTCGGGCGCGCAGCTCTGGTCGGGGAGCGGCACGGACGCGGCGACGGGAACGTGAGAGGGAAGAAGCTGCAGCCAGCCTGTCCCGTCCTTGCCCTCAGCCGGCGCCTAGGTCGCCTTCGTTCTCCCCCGTTGCACGGAGCAGAGGAGGGAAGGGACGCTGGACAGGGCTGAGCAGGCCTGTGGTGCGGAGTCCAGGGGTCCACGGAGGCTGTGGGCATGGCCTCATCGTCCTCCCACCAGGCAGCACCTCCGACCCAAGCTGCACAGGCGGGCGGGGAGGGCAGGTCTAGAGCCTCAGCGCCAAGCAGGGCAGCTCAGCAAGGCCACCCCAGGGAGGCCTCTGGGCCCACACCGAGACCCACTGAGTCCACCAGGCATGCACGTGGCCAAGACCTGACCTGGCTGAGGCTGGCATCGGGTCACGTTAGAGATGCTGTCTCTCTGTCTCTGTCTCTCTCCCACTCTCATAAAAGAAACAAGTCGACGTTTTTGAAAAGCCAGTGTGGGGCGATGGTGGAGGCAGAGGGGCTCAAACTAGACGAACAGCTGGTGGTCAGTGGGAAGAGATGGATTTAATGGAATGAAGGCTGAGTCGTGCCCCAGCCCCTGTCCAGCTCCCCAGGCCCATCCCAGGGAGGAGTGCTCCCCCTGCAGGGGTGTGGCACCTGCTCAGACGCCTGGGGCAGGGAAGTCTTGGGGGGGCCGTTCAGAGGGGGGTTCCAAGGTGCCCCCTTTGTCTTGTCTGCCCCAGGCCTGTCCTGCCCTCTCACCTCCCTGCTGGCCCCACCCTGCTCCTCAGCACCAGGGGAGGACCCGCCCCTAGCAGGGAGACTCCAGCTCTGTGAGTCCCAGAAGTGACGTCTTGGGTGTGGCAGGAGCGGGGTGTCCTCCTCGGTTCCTCTGGGGCAGGTCCTCAGCGGGGCACACAAGGTGGCGGATCCTCTGCAAGGGGAGCGGAGGTGGCTGTCACACGGAGGACACCCGCCATCACGGACGCGTCTTGGAGTTCTCTAGCTTCTTTCTGACTTCTGAGCACTCACTCTGCCCCTTTCTGAAGCCACAGCCACCACTGAGCCTGCCCGCACCAGCTTGTCCCAGGCAGTTGACTCCCCTGTCATCGGATCCTCCCCGCCCAGGGAGCGCCCTCCCACTGGCCACCCTCTGGCTACCTCCCGGAGGGCGCCTTTGAGGGTGCTGAGTCTGTAAATGCTCCAGGCTGGAACGCAGACCATGGAGGACAGGGCCAGCAGCCAGCCCAGCGCGTCGCCCCACCACGGGTACGTGTACTTCTTGTTGTAGGTCAGCGGCGTGTACTTGACCAGGGAGAAGAGGAAGGTGGCCTGGGTGACAGGGGGAGAGGGAGGAGTGGGGGCGGGCCCTGAGCCCTCCGCGCCCCACCGCGAGGACCTGGTAGAGAGCACCTCCAGGGCTCATCCGGGCCGGTTGGCTCCAGTCTCTGCCTACACCATGCCCCAAATCATGCCCCGCAGGTATTCCCGGGGCCCCTGCACCCAGGGCCCCTCTGCTCATGGTTAGCTCCTGGAGATGGCATGACCGCATGCCTGCCGGGTGCTGAGGTGCATGCGTGTCCTGCGCCATGAGTCTGGGCTGCGAGGCCCTCGGGTGGGGCCCATGTCTCCCTCTCCCTGGTCCTCACTTATGGCCTGCACGCCGTGGGGCTGGGGAAGTCAGAGGGGACAGCACATCGTGGCCCAAGGTTCCGCTCTGGCCCCAGACTGCCGGCTCGGATGCCCAACCCCCACACCTCTAGCCTGGGCAGGTCCGGCCGCAGAGTGGCCCGAGCCACCTTACAGGGTCGGTGAGCAGCAAAGGAGGGATTGCGTGTGGAGCCCCGTGTGCCCGGCCCAGGAGTGCCCTGTGACTGCGGCTAGCGTGGATGAGCGGCCCGGAGCACTTGGGGTCGGCCCTGCTCGGGGCACTGGGCTCACTGTGGGGTTGGTCAGACCGTCTGACGGCTCTGGCCCTCAGTTTGTCTTTCTGTGAAAAGGAAAGGAAGACTTTGTCTTGCTAGCTTTCTCTTTCTGTTTTTAGGGAGGCGTTTACTGTTACAGGTGAGTGTGCTGTAGGGAGGGAGGGAGGGAGGGAGTGAGAAACCACCCCCCAGGACCAGAACCCCTTCGCCAGTCTCCTCTTGGCATTTTGGGCACGCGTACACATGCGCCTGGTGTGTTTTTCAAGCTGCCAGCTCTGAAACTCGAACTGCCCAGTCGGCCATGTGGGATCCAGCCACTGTGACCACCACGGCTGGCCCCTTACAGCTCT